TTGGCTCTGTCGTCGGCTTGGCGTCGGGCCTTCCCAGTCGGAGCCGATGGTAGATTGGGCTCCGCATGGCTCGACCCTATGCCACTTAAGGTAGGATGTGAGCACTGGGACCCGTCAGGCCTCTGCGACCCCTCGACAGGCACAGGGGGGCCAGCGGTGGCATGAGCCGAAGAGGCCGAAAGGCCCCCCCCAAGAGACCTCCCTCCGCTCGGCGTCAGCCTGAGGCGAGCAGGGGCCCAGAGCCCCAGGAATAACCCGCCCAGACGCGTTCTGACGGGGCTCGTGGCGACTCGGGCTGGATTCCAGCAAGGCACGTGGCCTGGATCCTGCATTAGAGATCCCAGTGCTGGTCGCACCCGTCGGAGGTGTCATGATATCCACCAGCGTGGCCGCTGACCCACTCCAAGAACTGGTAGATGCAGGCGTAGGTGTAGCTGAAGTGGAAGCTGTCGGCCTGAAAGACAGCGCCACCAGCTGCGCGATAACCGAGTCCAGAGGGTCGCCCGCTTGGTCAGCATCTGAATTAGGTCGTCGAGCAGGTGGTGAATTCCTGACGTCTGGGGCCTGATCGCCCAGCACTCGACGGAACATCGCTCGGACCTCGGCGAGAGTTCTCCAATGTCTGTGCTCAAGCCTTTGAGCGGCGCCAGGCTCACGACCAGCGAGGCGCATGAACCAGGCCTCTCGACGTCCCTCAGTTTGCCGCCATGCCGAAGAACATAATTCATCAAATATATCTTGAAGGCTCCTTCCAGGAAACCAAGTCAAGAGCAACTGACGCAAAGGAATATTGGCATCACGGCCGATCAAGGCGGATAAAAAGGCAGTGCGCCACTCGACCCAAGGACGTCCATCCCGTGGAATCTGCGCGTGGCTGTCAAACCAAAGGGCCGCCCAGTCGCGTAAGCTCTGGCGCATGTCCTGGCAGTCCTGCACTGGGTCAGGTGGTGCAGGCACCCGAGCTGGATGGAGGTGTCCTGGACTGCTGCCCCACGTCGCGCCACTGCCCGCGACCTCGCCGTGAGAAAGAGGAGTCCAGCAAAACCCTGCGCCCCCGCCCCCACACGCTGAGTCCCCCGCCTCCTGTGGAAGGGGTGCCCTGGGGGGTGGTGGACGCAGGCGCGACTGCGAACCTGTGCTGCCACAGGCAACCCAGGATTTGCGACCTGACGCCTGATGCCCTCCGTCATCAACATGTGCAGGAACAAAGGCATCTGGCAACGCACCAGAATCCGCACGTAGGCGTTCGCTGCCACCATCTGCATCCGCAGGTCCTCCAAACGCTCTAGTATCCTGCTCGTAGAGCCCGAAGAAATCATCCTGGTCGAAGCCAGGGTCGGCACCCAACTGCTCAAAGTCGTCGCCGGAATCGAAGGTATGGGAATATGCCGCCATTGCGCCGATAGTAGCAATCAGGAGCACAGGCCTAAGCAGCGACCTTGACCTTCTTGGCCAGCAGCTTCTGGCACGAGTCCAGCTGTCGCTTGGCCTGGGCACGCAGCTCCGTCTCATCAGCGCTAGCTTCCAGCCCAGCATCAGCCACAAAGGTCCGAAGCTCTTCCAGGTCCATGTCTTCAGGTACAGGCATGTCAACATGCTGGGGCCGAGCAGGCTGCTCAGCTTGCTGCTGTGGCGGCTCAGGAGGTCGCTGCTGCTGTTGTGGCTGCTGCTGCTGCGCGCGAAGCTGCTCTTGCTGTTCGGTTCGCTGCTTCCGAACCTGCTCAAGCCAGGGCTCCACGAACTGGGCGCAGCTGGCAGCCAACTGCGCGCCGCCACCAAGGGACTGAACCAGGCTCTGCAGCTGCTCCAGACTGGCCGTGAAAGTGTCGAAGACCGCCTGGTCGCTGCCTTCAGGAGCTTGAGTGACCTGCTCAGGTGTACGCGTACGCAGCAACTCCATCTGCTCCCTCTGCATCTGCACCCGAGCCTTTTCTTTGGTCTCCAACTGCTGCTTGAGATCAACCACCAAAGTTTGCTTCTCAGCAATGGCCTGCTCCTCCGACTCGATGGTGGCCTTGAGCTTCGCAATCTGCTGATCTGCCTTCTGAATCTTATTGCCAATGCCGTGCACCTGCGCACCCAACGGCTTAGCATCGTGGATCTCCTGCCGCAACTTTCGAAGAGATGTTTGAGCTTCCTCGTAGCCAATGACTGTCTGCGGGGCAACGCCTTTGACTTTGGCCGCCAGCTCGAGGGAGGCCACAACCTGCTCCAGCGCATCCAGCTCCTGCTGCTTGCCCTGGGCGTCGTCCTTAGTGGTGGCTGCATCAGACTGCGGAGGCGATTGCTGCACGTTCTCGGTCGGCCTGGTCCGAGACAGCTGCTGCACCTGCTTCCGAAGGGCCGCCAACTCCTTATCCTTAGCATCCAGCGCCGCCCGTGCATTGCCCCCAGCAGCAGGAGCACGAACACTGGGCGTAGGAGAAGGTAGATCGCACTTGTAGACGCGTCCCTTGGCCCCACCACACAAGAAGCAAGAAGCAGCATCTGCATGATTGTGCCAAGGCTCGCCAGTTTTCTCGTGTGTGCAGTGCCTGCACACCCATCGCTTGGCCCGTGCTGCCCTGTCTCTTGCCGCATCACCCTTCGGCGGCGCCATGATGCCCGCACAGAACGAGAGACAAAAGCAGTGATGGCCGTGCCGTAGCCAGGCAGCCCGGCCGTGGCGACAAAACTGATGAGGGAGCCCAACCCCTCGGTGTAGGCGGAACGCTGTCGAGCGCAAGCGCTCTGGCACTGCCGCGGTCTAGCGGTATCCGTGGAAGCCAATACGGGCCCAGCCCGCAAAAACATGAGCCTTGAGCCAAAATGGCTACGGAAAAGAATCGGAATAGGAGGCGGAGAAGGAGGAGGAGGAGGAGGAGGAGGAGGAGGAGGAGGAGGAGGAGGAGGAGGAGGAGGAGGAGGAGGAGGAGGATCGAGGATGCACGGGAGTCCGCGGTCGACCACGCTGCCGTGGCCCCGCGCGCGCCAACGCTAGGCGCGCGTCTGGCACCGTCAGGTGTCTGGGAGGGCGCGAGGAGTGCAGCAGCAGGCTGCACCCTCCCCCTCACTGCCTCTCCAAGGCAAAGAATATATCTGCGGGGGGAGGGACGCTAATCAACCTCCCCCCGTACCGTGAACTCTCCCAGGTCAACCTCGTACAGCACGGCGGTGTCCATCTGCTGCTCGTCGCACCTTGGGCATCTTACCTCCGTTCGGGGTCATCGTGCCGGCTGACCAGCTCTGTCCAGCCTTTGGTGGCAGCCTCATTCGTAGTCGCTTCAGTACTGTTTCTCCGCTCGTCCGCGCGAGTAGTGTCAGCCTCCCACGTCCGTCGCTGTTGCGAGACGCCACCAGCGCACACCGCCAGCACCAGAACTGGCCTCGTGAGACCGCGATGTGGTGGCTCGGGTAGATCACTTTATCATGAACTTCTATCATCTCGTTATTGGGGACTGGGGCAGCGTGCCCATGATCTGCTCGATGGTTTGCGTAATGTCTTCCGACACACATATTCGCATTCATCCAGTCCGTCACGCTGTACTTGCCGGGGGTTTTCCAGCATTCTCTGCAAACCCACTGGCCCTTCTTCTTGAGCAAGCTATGCCGCGTCTCTTGTTCTAACGGCAGTCGCAGCAGGCGGGCAGCCCGTCTTGGCGCAGGTGGCGGGCGCTCATGCTTTGTCGGGCCCAGATCCTTGCAGATCTCGAAGTTGATGGCTGGAGGAGGAGGAAGAGGAGGAGGAGGAGGAGGAGGAGAAGAGGAGGAGGAGGAGGAGGAGGAGGAGGAGGAGGAGGAGGAGGAGGAGGAGGAGGAGGGGGAGGAGGAGGAGGAGGGAGGAGGAGGAGGGAGGGAGGAGGAGGAGGAGGAAGAGGAGGAGGAGGAGGAGGAAGGGGGAGGAGGAGGAGGAGGAGGAGGAGGAGGAGGAGGAGGGGGAGGAGGAGGAGGAGGAGGAGGAGGAGGAGGAGGAGGAGGAGGAGGAGGAGGAGGAGGAGGAGGAGGAGGGGGAGGAGGAGGAGGAGGAGGGGGAGGAGGCTGTGTGGCGGGGCGGAGGGTTTCACCTGCAGGACCTGGTGCGGTCCCGGTGCGTGCGGGTGCCCGTCTTCTCTGTCACGGCACCCTCTCCGCGGGCCCGCTCTCGGACCACCAGAGAGTGCCTGGGGGGGGGCTCGGGGCCAGGGAACGGGCAGGCGCAGCATGTTCCCATCGCCCCGAAAACTCCTCGGTAGACCTGATCCTAGACGCTCCTCCTCTTCCTCATCCCCCTGCTGCTTTTCCGCCCTCCATACCTCCTTCCTTTACCGCGGGTGTCGACACGCATCTCGCAACTTTGAACTGCATGCTGCAACTCGCACGACGTCAAGGCACGGCATTTGACGAGGTGGCAAGTGGCGCCGAGAAGCTGGCAATAATACCCGGCGCGCGGGCGAGATGTTTGCGATGAAGGGGCGAGGCCGATGGCAACTAGGTTCTGACCCCAAGGCCCTTCGATTTTCCCTGGATCGGTGTGTCATCCCTGAACAGCTTTTGACGGTCCAGGGGCCCATGAACAGCCCAAGGAAGTCCAACACGGTGAAACATCTCAGGGCCCGTTTTCCTCAGGACCCCGTCCCTCATGGCGAGGAAGATGGCGGAGGAAGGGGGGCTCACACACGCAAGCTGTCAACACGAAAACAAACTGACAACGTGTGACTGCAATAGGGGTAGAGACTGCCTGTCCGCCGAACCTAACCCGTGCTCTCGCGGCTCCCGCTCAAGACCGCAGAAACCAACATTTCCTGACGAGTCGCAACTGTGGCAGCGCAGCTGTCCAGAGCCAGTGTGGTTAACATGCCCTAGCGCCGAGTCCAGCCGCAGGAGGGGGAGGGTGCCAGACAGGCGTATACGATGCGGGGGGATGTTCGGGAGAGACACCGAGCAGCGATACGCTAAGCGATCTAAGGGGAAAGCTCGGCGAAACCGCGGGAAGTCGCGCACCGAACCCCCCTTTCGTCGCCCTGCCCCTGCGGCACCCCAGCCTGTCTTCGAAATTGTCCACCGCGGCCCTCCTATGTACACCGGGTTCGACTTCCAGCCCTCGAATCCAGACTCCGGGTCGCGGACGGTCGGCAGCTTGCGGACCCTCCGCGCGCCCCACGGGAAAAGAGAAAAAAGGCGGTGCTGACGGATGATGCCTCGCATGTTTCTGGGCAGCGGTTTCGTGCATCCTCTCGAATGATACTTTTGAACGGCACAATTAAAATACAACAGTATGGGACAACGATCGTTGAACCAATTGCATGTGGCAAACCCTGCCGCCGCACCAACCCAACAACGCAGCAAGCGAAACGTTGAGCTGAACACCCGCTTCAGTTCAGTGTCCTGCCTGAGCTGACAAGTCTTGTGCACATTTTCCCGTCCGCAACGTAATATTCGGAGCCTGTTTGGGCCCCCTCTGGGGGCCCTTTGAGAGCCCGTTGAAGGTGTTTTGACCGTATCGGGCGCTACTGTTCGGCCGAGCTCCCCCCAAAAGGCTCGATTAAACCTTTTGGGGGGGCCAGAGGGCCACTGCCAAGGCCGAAGCTGGAATGACAATGACTCCGACGGTAGGACCCCGCATGATAATCTCCCAAACCAATCCGTAAGTAAACCCCGCCGTCGTCCTTGTTAGTGCAGAGTTTTCTTCCACTGCCTCGTCGCATTGTTTCGCCTTGGCGGATTCTTTTTTCCCGTCCCCTGCTCTTCCTCCTCCTCGTCTTCCTGCCTCTTCTCCCTCATCCACCTCCCCCCCCTTTCAAGAACAAGGGCGCGCAAGTCGATGCTCCTTGGCACAATTGCCGCCGCGACCGCCACGGGCGCTTCCTCCGATGGCCAGATCGCGAAGCCGCTGGGCCGTTGGGGCAGCCCCGTGGGCCAGACCGTTGGGACAACCCCACGAAACGATGGGGCGCAGGAGCAAGCCGTTGGGATAACCGCGCAGGTCTCGAGCTAGTCGCGGCCGCGCTCAAGGCGGGAGGCAGCGTCAAGCCCAGCTCTGCCGCGAGCTCAGCGCCCTGGAACTCCCCGCTCCCTCGTCGAACTCCCTGAGCGCCTTCGGAAGGGCAGCGGGCGACCCGCGCGAGAGCAGCCCACGCTCAAAGCAACTCTCGCGTGGGCGGCCGCAGGATCAACATGCTCCGAATACGTCAAGTTCGTGTCGTGCCGACTTCGGCACTGGTGTCTGAAACCGCGGGGATTGTTCAACCTTGAACGATGGGCCGCTTCCGAAACGTCCAAATCGTTCCACATCGAAAGATTCTGGGTCGCCCACGGCGTTCAACGTTGAACGCCGCTGGCGGGGTCGCCGCCTGTCGACATGACACGAACCTACCGTACATTCATTCACGCCACCAGCTCGTCGAAACTTGTGCCGTTCCGCCACCGGACAGGGTTTCCGGTAGCGCACCTAAAAGGGTGCTCAGGTTTTCGAATGACGCGCCTATTGAGCCCTAAAGATGGGCGCCATAGGGAGGGGTCTCCCGCGTCAGACTGCCTCCAGATTCAGCCCTGAAAACGCAGAAGTGACGACTGCTATAGGATTCAGATGACCCTGCTTGGATTCGAACATGAAGTGCAGGCCCAATAGGGAGGGGGCTCCCGCTGGAGACTTTCTCGCTATGTACTCACGATTTGCCTCAAGGGCAATGCCTGATAGTGCTCGCCGATGACAGGCCTCGGATTCGATCATGAAGTGCGGGCTCCACAGGGAGGGGACTCCAGGTCGAGACTTCCTCGCCATTCGCTCAGACGAGGCCACCGCTCTGGACATACAATTCTCAACTGCAATGCCTGGTCAAACATTCCGATGCCCTGTCCCGGACTCGAGCTATGAGGAGAAGGCTCCCGATCGAGCCTTCCTCGCAAGTCACTCACAGGCGATGCCACCGCTCTGGACATTCTCGCGGTTTGCCCCATTGGGGTGCTCAACTGCTATGCCTTGTCAAATTTTCCGATGCCCCGCTTTGGATTAATGACATTACCTGCGGGCGCCATCAGGAGGAGACTCCCGCTTGAGACTTCCTTCCTGTCCACTCGCGGACGAGACCCTCGCTAGAGACATCACGACGTGCCCCCTTCGGGTGCTCAAGTGCTATGCCTGAAAGAATATGCGGACGACCCGCTCGGATTAATGACATGTCCTGCGGGTCCCATAGGGAAGGCTCCCGCCTGAGACTCCTTTGCAATTCGGTCACGGACGAGGCCCTCGCTAGAGACATCCTCACGAGTTGCCCCCACCGGGCCTGGCAGAGTATGCTGACGATCCGTTTGGCTTAGTAGCATGAAGCGCGCGCCCCAAAGGGAGAAGGCTCCCGCCTGAGACTCCCTCGCAATTCAACCATAGAGACGAGGAGCCCGCTCGGGACTTCCTCACGATTGCCCCCCCCCCCCCCCCTTGGGGGGCTCACGTGCTATGCCTGGCCGAAAATGCCGATGACCCGCTCGGACTAGCAGCATGACCCGCGGACCTCAGAGGGGGACTCCCGCTCGAGACGTCCCCTTTATGCACTCACGCACGAGGCATGCGCTCGAGTATCCATCACGACGATTGTGTGGGTGCGTGTGAGCTGAACGGTGGCTGTTACGGTGTTGTTTGGTGATGATGATGATGGTGGTGCGATGATGACGATGATGGTAATGTCGAGTGTGAGAACATGGGGGGGGTGATGCTGAGTGGGAACATGGTGTGTATTGATGGTGGTGATGATGGTGTTGCTGCTGGTTATGATGACGAATGTGTGTGTGGATGATGAACATGATGCAGATGATGATGAACCTGATGTTGGCTATGATGCCGAGCATGATACCTCGGTGTTAATGACTATGATGACCATGGTGAGGAAGAGGGGGGAGAAGAGGATATCCTGCGCGGGGTGTGCGCAGAGCAAACAAGATCACGACTTTGGATGTGGGGAAAATGAAAAGAAACTCGTAATTGCCGGCGTCGAACACACCGCAACCGCAACACATCTCGATATGATAGATAATCGACGCTGGCAAGATATATGCCAAGTCCGAATATACATAAATACAGCGCCTCAGCGCCAGAAACACATCATTCCGATGCGAGCTCCCAGGAAGCAAGGCGCCAACCTTTCACACACGGTGCTGCATCTTTCAATCGTGCCATCGTTCGCTGGCGTTATTCCATTTCACGTTATCATCATCACCCTCCCTGTCCCATCGCGCATCTTCCCCGCCAACACCATCACCAATCCCACCAGCCCTTTGGGCGTGAGTGGTTTAGGGAGCTCTCTCTGTCCTCAACCCCCCTTCTTCCCCTTCGAGGAGGGGTTTACCCCTCCCCCTACCCCCTCCCCTTGGACCTGGAGAGGAAGTTCCGCGGGTCGTCAGAGGGGGTCTTTTTCGACGTCTGGGAGGGCCAAAAAACGACGACCCTCACGAGGATTCTGGCCCCGAGGGGGGGGGGAGTTTGGTGCCTCAGCTCGTCTTTGAAGCAAAAATCATTGATTTGACTAGGGTTTGGGGCCCATTTTGGGCTTCTGAGGGGGCAGCGCCACTCGTCCTTCATAGCAAAATCATTGATTTTACGCAGGTTTTGGGCTCATTTTGTCCTTCTCAGGGGGCAGCGCTCATTTGCGCTTCTGAGGAGGTCGCAAGAGGCCCCAAGATGGCCCCAAGAGGCCCCCAAGAGGCCTCCAAGAGGCCCCCAAGAGGCCCCCAAGAGGCCCCAAGAGGCCCCCAAGAGGCCCCCAAGAGGCCCCCAAGAGGCCCCCCCAAGAGGCCCCCAAGAGGCCCCCAAGAGGCCCCCAAGAGGAGGCTCCAAGAGGCCCCAAGAGGCCCCACGAGGAGCCCGAACGACTCACACCAGGACGAGGGGCCCGAACGACTCACACCACGAAGAGCCCGAACGACTCACACCACAAGGAGGGGCCCGAACGACTCACACCAGGACGAGGCGCCCGAACGACTCACACCACGAGGAGCCCGAACGACTCACACCACGACGCGGGCCCCGAACGACTCACACCACGAGGAGCCGAACGAGTCACACCAGGAGGAGGGGCCCGAACGACTCACACCAGGACGAGGGGCCCGAACAACTCACACCACGAGAAGCCCGAACGACTCACACCAGGACGAAGAGCCCGAACGACTCACACCACGAAGAGCCCGAACGACTCACACCAGGAAGAAGGGCCCGAACGACTCACACCAGGACGAGAAACCCCAAACGACTCAAACCACGAGGAGCGCTTTCTCTCCCTCCTCCTCCGCCTCGTCCTTCTCCCGCTCCCCCCACAAGGAGGATGTACAAGGAGGCGGGAGGAAGGAGGAACAGGGGAGATATGCGGGGCCAAGCGGACACACGCCTGAAAAACACGACTGTCGGCATGCTTCGCAAGAGTTGCTGCTGTGAGATGGGCTGGTGGGGATACGCGAAGCGTAAATAATTCTGATTATTCATCATCGTGGCCGTCGTAACCATCGTCCACGTCACAACCATCATCGCCATCGTCATTGGTGATGTGTCTGCTCGACTGCCGTCAATATCGTCTCTGACAATCCACAGCCCGTGACTCAGTCGGGGTGGCCCTGCCGAAACCTACATGTGGCTGTGGCGAATCTCTCTCTCACGAGGCGCGGCGGCGGTGCGGCGAGGAGGGCGACGAGGGCAAGACGTACAGCGGAGGCCCGACCACAAAAACCTTCCACAAGAAACCGAACCCTGAGACCCCTGGACGTTCATTGATTTCCGGTGTGGGGACGTCGCAAAACCATCGAAACCCAAGAAACCCACGGCACCCTGGAGGCAAGCAGGGTGTTTCTTGGCACTGAATACGTAATACCTGATGCGGGGGGGGGGAGAGGATCCTGCTTGCGCCTGACGTCATGTTCACCGTGCTGGCTCGTGCACTCTCCTGGGGGTCGACGACTCACTGTCTCTGTGTGTGTTTCTCCCCCTCTTGAAGCGTCACTGGTCCTCGGGGCACTCGCCGGACGGAGGCCCGCGTCGTCCTGCCGGCGCCCCTGCCGGTCCCCGTGACCTTCTGGGGGCCGCCTGCCCGCGTTTCGAGTCCTCGGCGGCTGCAGCGGTGCGGCATCCATCACACTGGGCAGCGGAAGCGTAGACTCAGGTCGGGC